CGACGAGAGACCGAAGCGCGTCCCCGCAGGCCCGAGCTTAACCATGCTGCTTCCCTGGATCATAGCTGAGGCATCCACCGGCCTTGAACACATCTCTCTTGCTTACTCGTACTGTGGACCGGCATCGTTCGACGAAAGAGAGTACCACATTCAATCGCTTCTCACGTTGGCAAGTCAACACGAGCAGGTTACTCTCGTACCGGACCCGCATACCCAGAAATACGCCTTCCTTTGCCACTTCTATCTTTAGCCCGGCATCCGCCAACAAAGAACGAAGGGCTTCACGCTTCGTATCAGTAGTCAGAACAAATACCTTGCGTAGTTGCACATCGAATCCTGCTCGCAAGAGTAGGCATATCAACAATTTAAACATAAAAACAACTACGCGAATCGTACCACTGATAGCTATATCGTCGACGAACAACAGCATCATTAAAGTCCAGAGCTGTTGCAATAAAAGAGCACACAATTGCTGAACACGCTCAAAATTAGTAGACCGGATAGAGCATACCAGACGACCAAGACTTCCCGACAACCCTGCCGGACCGAATACCACACCAAAGAAGAGTCGACAGGAACAATAGGTCTCACCCGTGCCAGTACGGAGGTACAGAAGACTGTTCACACACCTACACTTGTAGAAGGCTGCTCGTGCGTCTAACAAGGTGGTGCACTCTCTAGCTTCAGCACGTAGTAAGGCGATGGGATGAGACAACAATGGCACGTCGCTACTAGCAGGAGGCAGACTTTTGTTGACTTCGCGAAAATCGACTACCAATCTGCTCTTCTTCGTACCACTAGGTGGAATGATGAACACTTGAGCAGCAGGTCGTTCGTCAAAGGACGACGTACTCGAAGTCTCCACAGTTGGAGTCCACCATTTGGATTCCACGTACTCATCCAGTGGATGAGTACGTGGAATCCAAATGGTGGATGACATCCACCAGACGACGGTATTCCCCCTTCATCGGCTCGCTCAACCGGGAGTATAGGGCTGCCGCGTACTGGCGCCCTTTCTGCTCAGTCTTTTTGGGGGAGGGTACCCAGACTTCACATACATGAGTCTGCTGAGGGACGTCAATGACTTCACATGGGACGAGTGATCGGACTCTGCTTTTGTAGGCTCCATTCGTTTTTGGTATAATCTTCCACCCTTCTTGGACTACCCGATTGAGAATCTCATCAATTATGTCTGCCTCGTGCCCTCGAAGATCTGCACGAAGAATCTGGTCAGACTTAGTGGGAACGATTGACGAAATCTCCACACATCCCTGGGTAGCAAGGGTAGGACCCTTGTTGTCACTGTCACCGGTATGACGCAAAGCGTCAATATCAACATCGGTAATCCGAGCCACAGAGTCTATATCATTGACAGCTTGATCACTATGTCGATAAACACATTGTCCCTTAACATGCATATATGTCGCACCCTTCATCTCTAGCCCCCAACCCTCGATTAGCTGACGACCCGCTAGGATTAATAGCTGGCCGCAGCCTACCACACCCGGCGATGGAAGCACTCTCAGATCGCAATTGACAAAGTCGGATACCACTGTGTTACACTTATAACCATAAACAGCTACATCACACTCGATCTCGTGATGAATGGTTACTTTGTGGCCGTTAGCAAGAGCCACTAGAGAAGTACTATTACTACAGCTCATCGTGCAACCAATAGCTTCGAGAGCTTTTATAGCATCTTCTACACTAGAAACTAATATATACGGACGACCAGCGCCAGAATCTACAATGCAGCGAGCCTCCAAGAATGGAGCATCGATTGCACTGCTTGCAGAACGAATTATCACCCTCAACATCATTTCGGGTGGTACAGGGGATACAAAAGAAATGACATCAAAATTGGTCAACTGAACCGGATGTCCGAGAGCCTCGATCGTATTCGAACATTGGCTCTCATCATTCATCCTGTCTAGTTTCCCTGACTCGGCTTGTCCCCTTCTTTTGACACAACCTTGGGGTCGCCGTTGAGAACACCACCATTAGCGTTACGGTTACCATTCTTCTTAGAGTAGTCTTCCACCTCCCAGGCTCGAAACTTGGGAACCGGCAGAGAGGATACGTTAGCTAGACCAACCTCTCTGTTCTGATAACCAACAAGGTAGTAGACACGTCCTTGACGATTGTGACGAGATAGAATAGCATCAGGTCGACAAAGAGATACCACCTCGTCCTTGTTCTTGCAACCGTAACCAGTAACGCCAAAAACCGCTCGGTGACGACCAAGAAACTCCTTGAAAGCAGACTTCACCCCAGACTTACCACCTCCATCACTCTTACTCTTACTGGTCTCATCAGCCTGAATAGCTTTTACCGAGTCGTTGAGAGGAGTTGATGATCTAGACGGTAGGATACTATTGGTCTCCTCCAATGGAGGACCTCCATCAATCTTGCCTCCATACGAATGAACTCAACAATACTCTCCCGGTTGACCGACCCCGACGAATGGACCGGAACAGCACATTCCCAGTCACCCTCAAGGGTTCCCAGCCTGTCTTTACAGCGGCGGATCACACCTTGGACTATCTCACGAGGTAATTTAGAGAGAATCTGTCGCATAAATTGAATCAGTTGGGCATCGGTAGATCCGGTACTGTAGACGACTCGATAGATCTCACAAGCAGCGATTACATCTTTCAAGTACGACTCAATGTCTCTCACTGACTTGAATCTCAGTCCAGACACAATGAAGTTGAGCTTCTCAACCAAAACACTTCTACGCCCGTAGGCGCTGATACATGCCTCCTTGATCGCACTCCAATTGTCACCACGTACATCATAGGTACCAGAAGCCGTATCCATCACCTCGGGACACTGGTTGAGTGTGGTAAGGAACTTCTGAATACAAGCATGCCTCAGCCAGTAGTGGGGTTGAAAGGCTCCATTTTCATCATAGAAACCACCACCAGCTTCGTGAAGTACCTCCTCAATCCTAAGTACGTGCTGAGAGAATTGATGACTCTTTCGCAGTGACTGTATCGCCAGCTTACCGATGGCAGCTGAATCACACTTCTTAGGAATACTCATACGAGGAGGTACACCAACATTGGAAACAGAATCTACTGGACGTACATCTTGCCCTGAGACCCTGGTCGGAACAGGTGCCCCAGTAGTCATAACGAAGGCTTCGGGCCGTGGAACTGCTTGCTGGTAAGGTGCTGGAGTCGCCAATGTCGGCTGACTACAGGGCGGGGGAAGGATAGCTCCATAGACGGGTACATGCTACCATGTCGACCCGAGGAAGTATGACTCGCTGATCTCGCTGTCACGACCTGAAGAAACACACGAGTGTGTGTTCGATAATCTGGCATCGTTCAGTAGATGATGCCCGTTCAAGCTAGGTGTATGGTTTGGAAGCTCAGAAGGAAGAGCACCGACAACAGAAGGTAACGTCTTCGACTGGCCCAAGATCTGGGAGTTCTTTTCGGTGAGCTCATCATACCGTAGCTCAAGAGCCACCACATAAGCACCCTGCTCCTCCAGTGCCAACCGGAGATCTTTCTCCCGATCAGCAAGGACATCATGTACTTGAACATCATCTTCGGATGACACAATGAGGTTGTTCAGTTGCTCAGTAGTGTCTCGCAACTGTGATCGAAGTCGCCCCCTGTACAGCCTCGCCTTACGCAGCTCTTCTTGTAAGGATCCTGGGGAGTGGAACTCCGCAGCAGAGTCGACACAAGACTGCCTTCGAAGAGCAGGTCGTGAAGATTGAACTGGATCTTCTCCTCCGTTTGAGGCTTCTATAACTGGGTTGGACGCAGATGTAGGTGTCGCCATGATGGGGAACGGCCCAGGACTTGGAACACAAAGGCCCTTTGGCGCAAGAAGAATCAAACTACGAACGGGTGTTTAGTTTATATTCAGTAGTCGATAGGTCAATCTCATCAACATACCCGTTATCGAAAGCAATAGTAACAATATTGGGCGAGCGAGACCTCACGATGACTCCAGAGAACCATTGTCGCTTACGCAACACGATATAGGCTACGGATATGCGTTGACCAATGGCAGCGCCTTCACTGATGTGAGCTACATATCTAATGTGACATCATTCATCTAAGATGAGTGTGGTCCAGACTGGAGCGCCCAGTTGACTACTCAGCAACAATTTGTTTATGCGCGAGCAAAGCGCTTTTGACAGCAGCGAGCCACTCGCAACACTCTTCATAAGAAAGTGCACGAAAAATATGATCAGATGTGGTGGATGGGGTACTCAGTATCTGCTGCGTGTTAATTCTACAGAAACCCGCCGTGAATTTCACTCGAAAAATCTGTTGTCCAACCGTTCGGCTCCAAATAAGAGTAGCTTTTCATACCAATCTTGACTGAGAAGCATCACGCGCATGACGTGGTATGCGAAATGGATACTTTTGCCCTACTATGCCAGTCGCAAGGTGGGGCCGACCGAGCTGAGCACAGCGGTGACTGGAGTATCGCGAGACTTGTCAAAGAGCTCTCCACGCATGATGAACATACTTGACAGGACAAATAGATCTCAGAAATGACATCGCCTTGAGAGTCGACCTCCTGATGGGCATCATGCGTATAAGCACTGAAGTGGATGCATTCGTCATTATCCACGGTTTTCAATGAGCGCGCCACATCTAATCAACAGCAACATGAATAATTCGCACAGATTGGTGACAGGTAATAACATAGTTATGATCACGAGAGTCGTGGAATGTTTCTTTTGTCCTATACTATTTGCTTCAGGAGTATCAATTGAAAATTTGTCGTTGAGGTCACACAAGGCCTTTGGCCTGGTCCTGCCCGGAGCTGTAGCTAATCATCATCGCAATCACAGTTAAAAAACAAAAGCAGTAGTTTATTTGGTGGCTAGTTTCTTACTATCTGAAGTCGTAACAGGACATCCCAGCCGTTACTTCCCTCACATGCATCATCATGATAGTGATGCAAAGTGATTCTTGACATTGTCAAGTTGACGGTATGTTATGATATCGTCTGCGGTTCCACATTAGGAACCTCACAATAGTCTTGAATAATCGATCGACTTGGCGTGCGCCTTTTTTGTTTGAGTCGCGCACGCCGTGAAGACTAAGTGCGCAAAGTTTGTGGGGGCTCGTAGTTGATTGGTACGTATGATGTTGTACGAGGGCGCCTGATCATTCGTATTAATTTGAATATTTCTATTGGCTTATATCGACTCATACTGTTGATTTCGAAAACTACTACACTCATTACTCGTATTGTGTCCAATTGACCTCTCCTGAGCTTTAGGAGCGTTCCAGGGATTAGATCAAACTCGACCTTGGGAACGCTCTTGTAACACAGGAGAGGCTTTCAACCGACAGTCTTTTGTATTAATGTCAACTACCTTTTGGACCGCATCAAAACACCGGTCCGTGAGTAAAGGGAAAGAAGCACCATCTAAAGTTGAGCGTGAAAAACGTGGAGAAGGCCGTGCTGGTGAACGAACTGGTACGGTGACGAGTGATACAAATGGAAGGGTCGGCCGTAAAGGACCTCAACTCAATTCGGAGTTGGTCGATGACATGACTGCATTGCGGATGGGTAAGACTAGATTGGTGAGTAAAAACAAGAACAAGCCTAGTAAACTAAAAGAAGTTATTCTTCATGATAAAATAATCGAAAATGATGATGACGATGGTATTGCGGGAAACTCCAATGAGGTGAATGGCAGCAGCCTACCAGAGATCACCGTACGGCACTACGTTCATCAGTAATACGGGAGGGGCTTGGGAGAACTGGGGAACTTCTCCACGAAGAAGTGTGGGAAAATACTATACGGAAATTTTGAAAAAATTTTGAATAGTTACCTGAACTCGCATATGAACTAGGGAGGGAATTCGCGAGCTCACCTGAGGAAAGCGAACATATATTCCTCAAACATTGCTGTGCCGTGGTGTTTTCATTCGCGCCTCCAGGCAGGGGTCACGGCAAAGATTATAAGTTCTCTGGAACCACTCGGAATAGTAGTTGTCGTTTGTATGTGGATGAGCCTGGGGGAGAATTTTCTTGTAAATTTTTCTGATGAGAATGTTGAAAAATTCCAATTTTTCCATTGAGAGGTTATATTAGGTTTCTCTCACCAGAGCTGGATGTACTAGTACAAGATATGCTCGAAGATTTACACCGCTATCAGGAGAGGGCCAAAGAGAATCCTGCTAAGTTTAAGAAGCGAAAAAGATTTGTCACTGGGTTGCGGGAAGTTAGTCGGGCGCTCAGATTGGGGAAATTGAAGGGTAGTGAAAGGAGTATATTTCCCGGCTTGTATTGTGTTATATTAAATACTTTAGTTTACTCCGCTTCTCGAATTTTTAAATCGAAGTCTTACGCGAGATTTGTTGAGCGTATCGTTAATTTAAGCCCCGGCGTGGTAACGAAAGATAAGTGAGGTGAAATTTGAGGAGATCGAACTTGAGTTTGAGTACTCAGCGGCTTTGAATAACATATGCGAAACCATTTCTCTTCATTGCGTAATCTCGTCACATTGCCATTCGGAACATACTATGTTGTTACCACCTTTCCGATCGGCAACAGGTCTGCTATAATATAGTACCAGAATTTGAACCATCTACAGGCCTGAAGAAATGGCGATATGCACTGACCTTTATTCCCTCACATATTTTCGTACCCATGTTGACTATGCTGAGGCGACTTGGAACATTCCTTCCACTGCTTACTATCAGGTGTAATAGTGGCACCAAACATGCATTCATCAGCATCTTCTGGCGGTCTGGACGATCATGTGGTTGAGATTGTCGATGAAGCCTCTTTGGGAGGCGGTAGCAGCTCCCTGGCTAAGAGTAGGCGTCAGTGGCAACTCTATAGCATTTCCAAGTCAAATTATTTTCTTGCCAAGTTAGTTTTTCGCTCATTTAGTTAACATTTTACCCGTAGCTTCAATGAAAATTCCAATAAAATTTAAAAAATGCTATATGTGCGATATGCTGTAGATTGATTTCAGATAAGCTCCTCGATTCTGATCGTCCAGCCGTACCGGTGGTATTTGCCCTATCGAAGAATAGACTTGGTAAGTGAAGTATAGAGATAGTTTGCTTGAGTATGACTTCCCTTTAGGGAAGGCTTGTGGTAAACCTGTTCGACAATGTGCTGTTGGTCTATTATCCGTTGAAGGCGCTGAGAGGAAATGGAAACAGGTAGAGCTTTAAACTTCAACTTGATGTTGTCACTCGAATGTTATAAGATTATCGAAATGACAGAAATGCTGAGGCGTAAGTGGCTCGAAGAGCGTCTTACATCAGCCTCAGTTGATGTCGTCGACACGACTTGAACGGTATAGAGCTTGCCTGTGCATAACTGAGCTCCTGCGAGTTCAACTCCAAGGTTCTAATTGTTGTAATTGTGTCGTTGAAGATTTGGCCTCAGTTTTAGTCGATCCGTCTTGGGTTGTTGAGTGGTCGAAAATGTGTGAATTATCGATCGATTGAAGAGAATATTGGGATTCTGAACCTCAGTATGACCGCAAAATGTTTGAATGAAAATCAATTATCGTATTAAGGCTCTCCTGCTGGATTCGTGTTATATGATTGGCTGGAGCAATCACAGTATCGGGGTATCTACTACGGCACTAAAACTCAAACAACCACACAAAGAGCACCACGAGTACTTCATTGCTACAATTTGACATGCACGGAGAAACATTATGAATACAATTGTTGGGCATTAATTATCGAGGCCAGTAGCAAAAGCAACAGTAACAATATTCAGTGTCATCAGAAGGATCTGTACCGGGAGACCTGCGTTCTTCCGGGGTCGAAGATAGCCGAATCTGATATCCAGAAGACTCCTCTGCGGTCGGGTCGTTGGTGTGCTCGTGATAGACCGACACAGGCGGCTGTGGGCTAAGAGTACGCTGAGGCAGATGATTGGACAAGAACCTGAAGTACTGTGTCAAACCTACCTTCCCGAATTCTACTCCCCTATCCACAGAGTTGTTGGTGACTGAACGGCTATGCTGAGTAGCATCATCGAACTGCACGAAACATTTTCGATACGCAATCCTACTGTAGGGGTAACTTCTCCACGGCTGGTAAGCCAGGGATGTTGCAAAATGTCTAAGCAAAGTGGTCGATCCCGAGGGTCGATAGATAAGCATCGTCCTGAGATGCTCATGTGGAATAAACGAAAGACGAATACTTTGATATAATATAAAAGTATAGACTGCGATGACGGATCCACGTACAAGTAATTCCAACACGCCGCAGGAAATGTTAAGTTGGTTATGAAGAGTGCCTACCATGGAGTAAATTCCGAGTTCGATCCTCGATTTCAGTACATCCCGTTCGCCCAGTCAATCCGACTATTGATAATGGAATTTCTAATTTGATGTCCATCCAAAATAGTCTCTTATGTAACGACAGCAAAACTAGACTTACGTATCAGGCTGATAGAATCCTGATCCTTGATATCTTGATTTAGTTTAGGCCTTGGGAACTTGCCATCCTTCCCTGGTCTTTCGGCACATTCCGGTGGACTTCCTACGAGCATCTGAGGCAATCGTCAATGAACTGTGAGACCCCAGCAGTAGGATACTTCATGTAAAATCATACCGAGCCCCCACACGTCGGTCTTCTTGGTCTGCCTTGGTTCCGCCATGCACTGCATCTGCTGCAACTGCAAAGCACATGTGGTAACCAGTCATCGAGCTCATCTCGACGACCTCACCACTTCAGGAGCCATGTACGCTACAGTTCCACAGAGAGTCTTCAAGGAACCCTACTTAGTGACTCACAAGTCATTTCCACACTTCTTCGCTTACCCATTCCTGACATTTGGCAGTGCCAAAATCGAGCAAGTAGATTGTCGGAAACTTCATATTCCCACGAGGTTCAACCTGAGTCACTCGATGATCTGAACGACGACGGCTAAACTGGCATTGCTATCATACAATCATAATGTTGCCCGGCTTTAGGTCGCGATGCACTATTCGGTGACTGTGGATGTGCCTGGGTATATCAACAATCAAAAAATCTTCAGTAGTCACCAGCAGGCTAGCGTCAACCATATTATCGATTCGTGAGTTGCAGAACCCACCTGACTGCTTTGACAAGCTGCCGGAACACATGCTTAACTCTGAAGGGCGAGCACTCCTCAATTGTCTCAATCTATGCTTACATGACGGTTTCCTCTACGCCGTAGTTGGCCGGAGCCTCTCGACTGAGCCACGAGGATAAGTCTTCTCCCTCAACATAGTCAAGCACCAGGAACGTGTCACCGTTGACTGAACCGGTCAGCTAGAATCGATACTGTACGCGATTTCTCACATATGTACGATCCGTGCATATCCACGACATTTGGATGAGGCCTCTTGTGGGCCATCACATCAACCTCAGCTCGGGTTTGCTCCGTGTCACCATTCAGCCTCTTCAGTGCGTATCTACGTCGGTCATCTCCAACAGCGATGTTCGAGGGACCCACTCTTTCCCCGTGTCCTTATGGACGGCCTTATAAACAGCCCCACCGCCGCCTTGCCCGAGCTGCTCAACAACCTGTTGAGACAACGTAGAATGAGGGGCTCTGGGGTATTGACAGTCTGAACTTAACGGTTATACAAACTCGGCTTTTCGAGGAGACTTATGTATCGGGGTGAGATTATAGACTATCAAACGCTCTTGAAACGTGGACAATCGATCCTCATTGTCATCACGGTGATGTTGGTTAGAACGTCAATTCCCAGACTTCCGGAATCGCCGAGCTGTCTCGCGAATATCAGTTTCTATACCAATTTTGTTTACAATGCACAGAATAGAGAATCCTACAGAAGCTGACGTCCATAGTAATCTTAAAAAGGTCTTCGCATATAATTGGATATAGTCCGGCGCACCTCGAAGTCCTCGTGAGTGAACGGCTGAGCGATCTCATCTTCCCGGTCCTCTCTTTCGGAAACCTCGATCACCGGGAAAACGGTCGAGCTTGGACTTTGATTCTGCCAAGAATACTATAGAGACATCAAATTCTTCAAGTTGAAAATCCCAACGAAGCGACGAGTCCAATCAAAGGCATTTGTGTAACATGCCAATTCGGACTCAAAATTGACTATATGTTGATATCCACATGGCAGTGCTGATATTGTCGAGCAAGCGAGCTAAAGGCATTGCTAAGTGGGCACAGCCAGGCACACTGCGATGACTTCAACGAGTTATCATGCATATCAGTCAAGATCATTGGAAAAATGTCGCTATCGTTTCACAACATTCAATCTTCTTGGCATCAAACTTCATGTGATTTTTTAACTGTGAGTAATGCGGCAACATGATGGTGTATAACCGACCGAAATTGAAGCAGCGTTTTCAGTATCGACGTCATCCTCGACGTCCTTGAACATATGCATGCACACTGCCTTCAGTAGCTCCTCTGAAGCCGACGATCGCCCGG